TAGACATTCCTGCCACCAACGGAGTTGCATGGTTGGAGATTGCCCAAAAAAAAGTCTAGGGTAGACACCGCTTAAGAGGAGGTTAAATACATTCCACTTGGCTGGCAAGGAGGGAAAAAGCTACAATTGGGGAAAGGAAAGAGAGAGAGCATATATTTATATCCAGCAGCTCCTGGAACGAAAGGCAGTATTTTTACCCACAGACTGATTCCTGAAGAGGCCCACAGTGTCAAAAATAGGATAATTTTATAATAATAGCTCATATTCTTCTCTCACATTTTTTTTCCATAATGCTAAAAGCAAATCACTCCATCAGCAGTTGGCTATCACCAAATGTCCCTCAGTTTTCCCCTTTGGGAGTAGCAAGTAAAGGGCACTCAGCTCATAACTTATTTTTTTGCAACCAACAAAATTCTTATAAAAAAAAGAAATAAACCTCGAGTTTAATGGCCGTCAACCATTCCCAGCACAGCTGTTGTGATCAAGAGACCTAAAAAATACCCCTGCGTGACCACAGAGCTGATTTTCTAGTATTAAATGACTGTGGCATGATCCCAGATACAGAACAAACCTCCTTTAGGTTGGTTCTTTGTTTGTAACTAATCCGCCCAAGTTGTAAGATCTGCTTCTTTGCTCCATATGAACAAGGGAACTCCCAAGCTAAAACTCCCTTCTACCCAATCCCAGAATTTGAACCCAGCTGTACAACTCGGCTATCTCGTACCAAGTTGCAAGTACATTCTCTCTCTCTCTCTGCCATGTGGTCCTTACAACAGACATTCCAAGAAAGCTGATATTAAAAATGGGTTGTACTTATTACTGCTGTCTCCAGCTTCTATTTTCACCACTTCTCCTGGTCAGCTACTTTTCCCTGATCTCATACTGATCGCAGTCAGTGATGCACTGGTAGTACGACATACTAGACTGCTTCAACCAGAGGGACAAGCATGTTCCTTTTTCTCCCCAGCTTCCTTCCAGAAGAGGTCTCCCCTCCCAGAGAGTACCACAGTGATCTTGCCTCAAAACTAATTTAAAATTTAACGGTTTCAGTAAAATCAAGACTAGTTGAAAACAGAGAAAATATGGTTAGAACAAGGGTGCTCAACCTCCACTCTGCACGCCAAGTGAGGCTTGAAGAGCCATTGCACCTGGCCCATTGAGGGCCCCACAGGTCTGGAAATTTGGTGGCAGGGAAGTGATGTCCATTAATACAGCCACCCTCCCACCTACCAAATTCCCAAACCCAAATACCTTTGTGGCCAGTTGGAGCCAAGCTATGTCCCCTTCCCCTGCCAGACCCCCACCCCCCACCCCCCCAACACACACACTTCTAGATCAGGGATGTACCTCTCCTCCTTCCCTTTCCACAGTGCCAGGTTGGGGTCCGGCCATGCCCTCTTCTTCTCCATGGGGCCAGGTTGGCCCAGGCCATGCACCTCTCCCCTGGCAGGGCTGGGCCTCGTGCCCTTCCCTCTCTGCAGAGCCAAGCACATCCACTTCCCTCTCCACAGGGCCAAGTCAAGCTCCTTTCCCCTGCAGGACTAACCTGTCCCTGCCCACCTATGCACATGCAGATTCTGCCTGCCATGCCCACCTGGGTGCTAGATCAGGAACACTGGCTGGATCTGGCCTGCAGACAGACTGGGCACTGCCAATCCAACCCATCAGGCAAAAAGGTTGGGCACCCCTAAACTAGAACAACATAAAAGGGCTGCCTACCGCATCTGAATTGGTAAATCAACAGAAACCCTAAGGTACTTTTAATTCAGGTTAACATAATAGAAAATTCTTTGGCATATAAAGAATGTGTCCTGTATAGTCAACATGTCCTTGCTTCCTCTGCCCCCTCCCCTTGAGCATCCTGTCAGCAAAACAGTCTCTCCTCTCTAAAAAGCTGTCAGCTCTCTGATTGGAATAATTATATTCTTAATGTATACCTCCCTTGCAGTTTCAAAAACTTCTTCACTTCCTCTCCTAAACTGTCACATAAGGTTATTAGGCATTAACAGCTTGTTGTGTTAAGCAGCTACTATGCGCTACCTTCAAAGCAGCTGCATTTCAGAATTGGGTGAAATGATTACAATTCATATAGAGTGTACAGGGTTTGGGGCTTTTTTTTTTTTTTAGGATTAAAGGTGTAATGTAAACCCAAGTAGGCTTTAATTAGGCAGCTATCTATAAACAGCTCCTACAGAAAGCATGAATTTAAAGCTGTCTACCTAAAGACTATGGAATTGGGGGTGCCTGTTTTTGATCACACACCAAAGCCATATGAAGAAACACTACAACCTGAAAGAAAGGGAGAGAGGGTGAAAATGGAAAGGGGGTGGAATATTCAATCACCAGGCAGACATTAAAAGGGAGAAGCCTTTTCACAACTAGCATAATGGTTTTCCATGTTAAAACTATGGTTACATACGCATTTTACAGGATAGTTGGTTGATTTCTTAGCTTACGGTCTCATTTCAAAGCATCCCTAAAGTGAAAATTTTGTTAAACTGGGAATAAAGAGAACAGAATGTTTCTCTCATTAACAATTCCAAATATTGCCAGTGAGATGTCAAAATTATCATTTATTTGTATTTACTCGTTTTTTCCAGGATGTCTTACCAAAAAGAAGTGTTTCTGGAAATGACATTGTAAAAGCCCGCACCAAGGGAACAAGAGTCTTGATTGGCTGGTGCTCTGAAAAGAGTCAGAAATTCCACCTGAATTCAACTTGTGACGGATTGCACCTGAGCAAAGCACTGGCAATTCATAACACTTCTCAGTTTGTAAATCAGTAAGTTATTATTACTGTATTACATCAGCATCTAAGAACAGCATCCTTGCTACATCCTTTAGTGTTTTATGAATATTCTCCACAAGTGAAGGTCCATTATTTTCTGTCAGTACCCACCTTTTATAAACAGGTCAGAGGGAAGGTGAAGGGTAAGACTGAGTAATATATGCATCCTTCACCTATTATGAATTACGTTCACATTAACTTGGATCCACACAAAAGGAGTTCAGCATACTCTTTGTGACAGTTAGTTCAGGTTCAAATCACAACATTGGTACTCTGCAATTTGGCACAGCTGGGAGTGTCTTCCCATAGGTAGAACAGCTGGAGATGTCGCCAGTCAGGACTTAGGCAGAGCTGCATATCAAAAGTTTATGTAAGCACCCATCCTCCTTCTAGGCCTCATTGTAGCCAGAGCTGCTAATCTCCCAGTCTCTTAAATAAGGGGGGGAGAGGGGGATGACAAAACAAGATAGCCAGCCAGTGTGACTCTACTGCAAAGTTTATAGGAACAGCCAAATCTTGAGATCATTTGAAGGAGTCCCTGGGTATCGACTGGATCATTTTCACACTCTAAGTAGAAAGCAATCAGCTAATTTTGCAGGTTTCCTCCTTTCATCCTTATACATACCAGGTTTTCCTATCAATTGTTTTCTCAGTGTTTTTCAGTAAAATGGATTTGATTTCTGCATTATATAGTCATATGACTTGTGTGCATCGTTTTTTAGCTAAGTTGTTTAATCAATCCCCTTTGGTGACTTTCTATCGAATAGAGGTTTTAATACATATATGGGAAACAATAATCAAATAATGTATGTATTTATGATTACATACAAAAATGACTTTATCCATTGCCAAGCTGCAGCTGATGTAAGAGTGGAAACTCCCAAAGACCAAAATGAAAATTGATTTTCAGGGGCGGTGGAGGGAGGGGGTCAAATAAAAATATTTCCCTTTGATTCATATAAGACCTTGAGCATCAGCTTAAGCTGTCTTTTCTTTCCCTTGCCCCTTTTTTCCTTTTAGTCCAATTCCCCTTAGACACACAGAGGCCACTGTTGTATCCTTCTACCTCTGCCCATATGTTTAGACTTCTATTAATGATGCTTAAGGGACAAGCTGGAAAGGAAACGTTCCAAAAGTAGTGGAGCCAGAACCTCCCCTTTCTCCGTAGCCAAATGCATCATTTCTGCCAACACATCTGCTCCCCACCAAGCCAGCAGACTGTCAAGGTCATCCATGAACCTGCATATATGCTAAATGGCAGTAAAACATGCCATGGGAGAGAACAGCAGCAAGGACAAAGCTCCCCCTCATTTGGTTAAACACCATGAGGATGCCATCTCAAAGACACTGCATGCCAGGAGGTGAATGGCCCCCAGAAGATGGAGGTGAGCTTCCTGCTTTGCAAAGAAACCGTTTCAAAAACATACAAATTCTTATGGCATATGGGCTCCTGAAGTATTGAAATGCAGCACACATGTACCACAGAGATTTATTACAAAGGGCAGTGAATAAGAAGAGATAGCATTTTCTATTCATAAGCCATCTCTTATTACTGTACTATCAAGCAGACATTTCCTTGGAGGATTTGATAAAGAGGTGACATGCCTGACAGGTTGGGGAAACTAAACAGGTTCTCAGAAACTGAGCACATCCATACGTGAGGTCCCAGTGACTTTACCGATGGGGTAGCCTCCATAATCTAGTGTCCTCTTAAATGCAGGACAGCTCTTTCAAGCTTATGACCCACAGCCCAAAGCCTTGCTTCCATGTTAAGGATGACTTTACTCAGGCAAAACCCGCACTAAAAATACAAAATAATAAATGGCACTTTAGGAGTGGAGGAAGGGGGATGGAAAGGAAGTAGGCATTTAGTGGTCAGATTTATGGCAATATGAAACGTGTCAGCTAAAGATGTTTAGGGTGGGCTAATAGAGTAGAGTTACAGTTTCCAATAATAGGGCAAGTTAAATAGACACGCTCTCCTATCCTGAGGAGACGGAGGTCAGGCCTGAAAGCTTTGAACATGAATGCCTCTCCCCTTTCACATGTGGCATTGTAACAGTAGCAGACAGATGCTACACAAAGACAGACACACCTGATTAACCATGAATACAACAGCTGTCGTTCCCCCGCCACCACTGCTACCCACACCCTGGTTGTTTCCGTTTTGTTTTTCGCTTTCATTCTGCTTTCATGAGGAAATTAAACCTACCATTAAAATCCAAGTTAGTAGGAGGGTGTCAGCATTGTGCGCCTTTGTTTCTCTCCTCACAGACGTGTAATAGGTACCTTCTGATTTGTCCTTTCATCTGAGGCAGGGACGAGGCCTACCACAGAGAGCTCCGGCAATGCAAAACCTGAAGCATGAAAATAAGAGAGCAGTGGGTAGAGGCTACAATGAAGTCAAACGAGGAGAAAAAACAAAGTTTACAGAGGGCAGCACATTTCTCAGGCACAGAGGAGCACCTGGATTTCATAACAGTGTCCCTCTTTCCTACAGCCAGAAATGCCTGTTTAAAACAACCCCACTTTTATTATCATTACTATAATTTATTTGCTCAGGGCAAGCTCAGCTCTCATGCAGCATCTGGTTTTCAGTGGGGTCCTGCTAGTTACCCGATTTGCAAATGAGCTCTTGATTGTTCTGCCGGGGGAGCAGTAGCGGGAATAGGGAAAGCACCCTTTTTAACGGGTGTTTGGCCCCCCAGAATTGTAAGGGGAATACAGTTACCCATTTGTATCCTATTGGGAGGAGATCTGCCAGGCCGGGTAATGGATGGTGTACCATTAACATAGCTAACCCTGGCTTACACATACTTCTAGCAGAGTTCCTCTAGTTCACCGATTTAGGTAGAGATATAGTCTAGAAGCAGGGTTGGGCGTCTTCTGTGGACACGCTGGACATTAGCCAGGGACAACAGAACTGGAGGCATTTCCAGACCTAAGTAGCAATCAACAGCAGCTTCTATTGAGGGAGTAGGGTCAGCTGTATGACTGGGAGTTGGAGAGGCATAACACAGCAGCTTCATAGTCACAGCAGCCGTGGCGCACAGGACAGCGCCAGCTCCTGTGCTGCAGCAACAGTACAGATAGTGCAGCTGCGGCATCAGCTATTTTTGTGGGGCCCCCCACTCTGCACCAAAGGCAGTGCCAAAAAAGGCTGCTCTCTAAGCTGCTCCACTCCCAGTTATGCTAGCAGGGAGTTAGAAAGCAGCAAAATATATTCTGATCAAGGAAACAAAATATCAAGGGCTGACCCTGTCTAAAAGTAATTAGATTTCAAAGCATCCTGAATCTAAGAACTCATTTCAGATTACGGCCCTAATCCTTCAATTGTGCATGAATGGGACTCCACGTGAGCACAGCAGTCCACAGATCGCAGGACCAGCGCTCAAGTATCCCAAAATGCTGCCCTCTCTGGGAGTGAAAGGAGCAAGCTAACACACAGCCTCTAACAGCGCTACATAACTTTTCCAAACAGGAAATGCGTAATACTAATTGCATCATAAACTACAAGGCTTTTCCTAATCCTGTTTTAAAAGGAAAGCCAAATAGCATTAGTTAACCCCATTTGGAATTCAATAGGAATAGGCCTGAATTACTTTCTAGAAGCTAAACACCCCAACGCCTAAAGAAAGTTCATGGCACAGACTCAATTCAAAAGTTTATCTAGCACCTAATCCTGGAGAAAAGTAACTAGGGAAAAAGTTGGTTATGCGTAAACCTGCACTTTTTTAAGCTGTACAGATTGGTGCCTCCTGGGAGTTGTAGTTATGCCCATCATTTCCTGTGAGCTGGCCAGACTACATCCTCCATGCTGCAGTCTTCCCTCTTGCTCAATTGCCTGAGTGCATGATGGAACATGCAGTCTGGCTGGGGAACACATTGCATAGAAGGAAATGGGAGCATGTGGAACTCAAACAATTCCCAGAAGGCAGTGCAGCTGCCTTTCAGAATTCAAACATTTAGGTTTTCGGGTGTTTAGTACTTTGACAGTAAATCAAAGAAAGCTGACACTTTTTGTAAAGTGTTTAATCAAAAAAACCTCCAACAAATAATTTTAGCCAGATTTCTTGACAGCAAGATCATGATCAGTCATGATCTTGAAGCAGTGACTTACAGTGCACTGCCTTTACAAAACTTTAGCTCATCTATGTTCATGGCTCACTCAGAACCCTTCAGTGGTTCAAGTTTTCA